ACGTCTCAAGTGCAATTATTTCAGGTCCGGAACATTCGTAGTTTAATTGTACCTAATATAGGGACATCCCTAAGAGGTTGCGTTCTATTAATTAGGGTTGGATTTCAGAACAAATTTGTTATTCAATGTTTCTCATATTTAAGTAATAAAAAGGAGTTATACCCAAGAATCAAGTTCAATTTGACATCCACGCAGAATAGATCGTAGGGTTCATCTTCTCATTATATTAAGAACAACTCCAATTCATAAATTTTTGTACTGAATCTTCCAAGCAGCAGAAGTAATTCCGGGTAATGTTTTTCTCGGTTTCATTAATGTTTTTGTTGATAAAAAGTTCCCTACGTTTCGACTCTGGGAAATTTTGTATCTTAATAAACATTCGTGACCTTGAAAATAATTATCGGTAATAATTCCGCTGCTACGGAGACTATAAGTAAAAAGAAACTTTTATAACTACATTCACTTCGGCATGAATACTAGTTTATACTTCCTGAAAACAATAATTGAGGAAGGTTAATTAGTGTTAAATTGATAGATAATTAGGTGAATAATCGAATTAAACTTTCCAAGGAAAACGTCGAATTGACAACCCGCAACCTACTTAGGAAACACCTGAATAATTGCTTCCATGTGGAACACGTGAATTACGGGCTCTGTTGTTCCTGGCGATGAGGCAATGTTAGTAGGTACATATTCAGATAGAATCCTCTTTGTAACGACCTGAAACCACCTGTTACCCTAGTTTGTTCCATTTGTTTCCGTGGGGAACAATCACGTCAGTTTCAGTAAGTAATGATTGAGAAGTGGAGTCGTTAGGGGTACACATAAAGTTGGGATTTTGATTACATAGTGGACAAAGCGAAGCAATTTTTCACGGTCGCTCATGTGCCAGATGGTCATTAAACATTTCATGGCAATATACCTAATGTTGCTGGAACATAGGGTATCATTTGGATTGTAATTATAAAATGTTTTCACATGGTGGTCAATTTGATTATTGTTTGAATAGCTCCTACGACACAGCATCCGCGAGAAATTACATCCGCGACATTGAATCCGTGACATTATATCGGCGACAAAGATATTTGTAATTTGTTAGGTAACATAACAATTTCATGTTTGAATTTATGAAATGTTCGATAAACACAATAAAATTCAATAAAGAGAACAAATTAATTCCATAATAATCAACCTAGAATCTCAAGACTAAGAAATTCATTAGGAATTTCGTGAATCGATTGTCACTGACGCAAGACAGACTATTTCGGCTTTCCAAGCGGATGCTGCCAATAAATTGGCGAAGAGCTAGGTTACTTCGATATACATATGCCACAAATCAAAGTCAACAACGGAGAGGGAGACGATCTATAGCCTTCTGAACAATCTAACCTAACTCGGCCTAGATGAAATGGAAAATCACTTGAGCAAACGGAAGAAACTACGTTTTCAGACAATTTAACCTGTATCGACCTATATGATTTTTCTTACTAGTAAATTTAGTTCTCTGAACATCACTTGGGCGTATGAAATGATACCACTTTTTCACCACAACCTAAGTTGATTCTTCCTAGAGATTATAATTTTTGAGAAATTACTCGAATGTACATAAAAGACAGCTGCTTTTTATAAATGATTTAACCTCACCCGGCCTAAAGGAACCTTCTTTCTAGAAAGTATAGGGAATTTTTCCACTCATGTATATATTGCATGTGTGAATATCTGTATATTGATTTGATTTTTCTGTACGAGATTCGATTCGAACCCTAATTATTATTCATGGTGGAGCCTACAATTTATCCGTTCAGTTATTCTGGAACAATCAGAGTGAACGCAGCTCGCTCAATATTACCTAATTCGGTTAGACAGTTGGTTTTCGAATAAACAGCACTTCGGATTGTCATCCTTTCGACAATATAAAAATGAGCAACTATAAGTGTTCAGCATTGTCCCAACTATCAAATATCCTCACAAAAAGACTATTTATAAACGCGTACAGTTCTTTATACAACTGATACTCCAAACAATTGGCAGATTCCAAAGTCTTCAGATGACGTTACGATGACATTTAGCAGTAGGAAAAACATGTCGGCTTTCCAATCTAAGCCAGGAGTTGAAAATCTTCCCCCCATTGCTAAACGTCATCACATCGTCAGATTGTGACCTTGATATTAGCCGTGATATTCGCCAATGGGCGTGTACACCTTGGTGAAACTTTTAACTCGAACCATGTTTATAATGATCCTTTTATTCTTAAATAATGATTGACGCCATAATTCGAACCGAAAAATTAACTGGAATGTTTTATTTTTGGACATAAATAATAGTACCTTCTGGAAACGGAACCTCTTATGACGTAAAAACCTCATCTCGCCATAGTTAAAAGAAAATACCAAACGCCCGACGGAGACTGAGGCAACTGATATATTAATTCTTTCAACTGTGATCTCGCGCTAATTCACTCTGGCAGAAATCATGTATCATTTATCTCTGTCTGGAATAGTCTTGTTTCAGTGATAGGGTTTTGACGTCACATCATCGCCTCGTTTTCAGAGGTCCGAAAAATCGGGGATTTCAATAATTTTTTATAAAACGTAGGGAGCTCACAGCAAGAAACGGTTTGCGGTGGTGAGCTAGTTTGAGTGAGTTCTATCGAATTATGAAATAATTTTTTTTTGTGATATATATAAGCCCATTGTCAGTGACGTTCATAGAGCCACCGATGGAAATTGTTCAGCTAGACGCTTGGTTTGGGTGCTATTTTTGTTCGGGTATTCTCGTTCCTGATCACTGCAGGGTCCACAAATAGGTGTTAAGAATGTATAGAAAACAGAATGATGCACAGTAATTGACATGAATGCTGATGAAATGACGAGAATTTAATGTCGCGGATATAATGGCCGTGTGCTTTGGGTTTCCAACAAAATATCGTTCTTCTCCAGTCATATACAGTACAAATTCTTTCAATTGAAAATATCTTCAATAACAACATTCAAGCTGTAGCTTCACTTTTATTCATTTCTTATTCATTGATTACAAAAACAATTATCGTTCAGAATTCGAAGGATATAACCACTCACTCAGATTCTTAATCAATGATTCTAGCAACACATAACGGAACAAAATTGCGTACTTAAAATTTCATAACATCAATTATGTCTATGAAATATTGAAGTGTACGTTTAGGGCTTTTACAGACATGAAGTGATATTTTATCAAATCTGAATCAGGTATTTTATAAGGCAATCTTAATGACGAAGAATACATACTTGGAATTTCACGATTCTGCCAAATGAATACTGGTGAAACATATTGGAAACGAAGTATCAAGAATATAATGTGTTGAAAAAAGACTCATCAAAGCACTTTCAATGTATAAATAATTTCAGTTTTGTAATAATTATATTAATTAATGAATCTTTTTTCATTCCAATGGTTTTGAAAGATTTTGATTTCCTCATGTTAAACATTCCACTGAAATCACTGAATATAAACTTCGAAAAATAAATGATCCGAATAGATTTCTTCCATTCTGGAAGATTATTTGGTGAAACATTATTCGATCATCGCAACTTGAAATATCTAGAGTCATTATCCATTTCAATACAGAGGTCTTATGCCAATACATGATATTTCTCATATTCATTATATATAATTATTTGATGTACAATCTGACCTATATACCTAACGTGTTCGTAACGATGAATTGCTGCTAGACAAATATGAATGCCTCATAAAGTCGGAGAAGAACTGAACTGAACTGTGGGGATGAAAGGGAATGAGAAATTTGAACTTCCGATAGACCAAGTTTGATGATAGACAAAAAATCAAAATACACCTAACATTCATAGTAGGTACTTTTTGGTTGAAAGTGACTCCAACATTTCAAACTTGAATGCCACACTTGAATGTCTCGGTCGATCCCACACTTCTAACAATAAGTTTTTCAAAACTCCACTCGATCACAACTCAGAATCAGAACTCACAAGCGTATTTAACAAAGGAAATGCACGCCGCACGAGTTCACAGACCGACCGACCGAGGTGCACTCGGAGTGTGCCAATTTACCGGAAAAAATCTTGTTCGTTTGTACTCGAGACACATTCGTCAACGATCGTTATTCATTTCACCCATCAGATTCATTCGATAACAAGTTACTATAATATGATTCAAAATTCACTCTTCTTCGTTAATTATTATTGTTCAAGACATTATTGCTATTTCGTGAAGACTAATGAAGTCAATTGATATACTCAAAATAATCAGTTTTAGCAACTTGGCGATATTTTCATACGTAAAATGAGTGAATTCAGAATTGAAAAACATTTATCAACTCAGTCATAACGAGAACAATTGATGAGTTCTTTTTCCTAAGTGTATGTTGGTAAAACAAGTATGTAGGCAAAATCAGGAGATCCATTGGTGCTAGATTGAAGGAATATGTAGAATAACGAAAATAATTTCGAGAAAGGTCACTTTGGAATATCAGGTTGAGCAAAATATTCGCACATAGTTTATCAGTAATCCGAACCCCGGAGAAGTTTCGACTCTTGGGGAGTTAGTTGGTTCCCAACTTTGAAGTAGTAATTTACAAATTATAGAATTACATTTGGGTGTATGATAAATTGACATTCATCATACAGGGCGTGAAAATGAATTCTGAATTGAGACTCTATCACGAATCTGCGATTGAAGGTCTATAAAAATCACAAGTTTCCATCGTTCAAGTTTGAACCCCCTGATTGGGTATGAAAGTGTTGAAAAGGAATATTCTCAGATAAATTATGAACATACAAAAATGGATATATATTTATATAAAGCAATACATTGAGAATTCGCATTCTCTATGTGATGAGAATATTTACTCTTTTTCAGTTAATTCAATAGAAAACAACTACTTTCCTGGCTATATGCCACGACGAATTACAAACGAAAAAATTAGGAAATGGTGAAATTTTAGAAAGTTCTGAGGTAGATAGAAAATTGTATCTCATATTGCTTACCTCTGGCCGATATGCAAGGTCATACTTGGTCTTGGGAATACTCCTTCTGCATAACACATAACCTGGAACACTTTGTCTCCGATATATTCTTGTCGAAGTTCTAGAGTTTTCTCCGGAACTGAAACAATAGCATCCATAAAAAAATAGATCATCTCTTATGCTATAAATGTACTATTGACATTATTGGATACATGATTACAAAGCAAATCAGGATAATGTCACTATTTATAATAATGTTCACTATACAGAGTAGATATTCAAAAGTTTAAAAACAGTTCTTATCATCGAATCACTCTGGAATTCAGAATTTGAGTATGGTGAAGATATAAACGCTGATTGTTGTTACAAGGAATTCACGATGGTGAAGTTGAGGATGATCATTATACGGTAAAATTTTTTGAGTTGATTTCAACTGAAGGTCCAAACAACTTTGTGTTGATCCAGGTCCACAACGGATTGTAAAACTATGTTATTCACAACCAACCATATATCATGTGATGTTGTCATTACTTACGTCATTTTGAATTCAGCATTGAAAGTATAGTATGGATATACATACAGGGTGATTCGCCATAAATGCTCCCACCCCTGTAGCTCAGTTATTTTTGAACCGGTTGCAAAATTTGGAATATCATCTGAAATGATTTTCGATGGAGTTCTTTTTAGCTACATCAGAAAATGCAAGGTGTTCGAAACAAACGATCTACAGGGTACTATTTGATTTTATTGTTCAATGTATTTTCAGATTCTCCCTGAAGAGCTGATTTCATCAATGCATCACACTATGGGGTCTAGCGAAAATGATTACAGAGATACAACTTTAGGATTTTTCTGTGACGAAACTATTCTTTATCGGTCAAAACGGCTTCCATGTCCGTATCCTCACTTTTGATTTACTATCTACTGACATTTGATAATTGGAACAGATACAGGGTGATCACATTTCTGAATCTTGAACCACACTGTATATGTCCCAATTAAATGTCAGTCGATAGTAGATCGAAAGTTGAGATAGGGACATCCAAGCCGCTTCAACCAATAATGAATAGTTTCGACACAAAAAAATCCTTGAGTTGAAGAATCTCGATTTTGAAAGCCCTATATCTCTGTAATCATTTTCGCTAGACCCCAAGTGTAATATATTCATGAAATCAGCACTCCAAGGAATATATAAAAATATAATGGTATACAGGGTGTTCCATTTGAAAAAATCAAGAAGTACTCTGTAGATCGTTTGTTCCGAGCACCCTGTATTTTCTGATGCAACGGGAAACAATTTTCTGAAAAATCATTGCAGACGATTTTTCAAATCGGTTCAGAAATAAGTGAGCTAGAGGGGGCGACATTTATGCTGAATCACCCTGTACATGCCTACAATAATTCCGTTTCGAAGACAATATTGAAACATCATCTCCAGGGCTATTCAAGAGAATCCACCATCCTCAGGAGCAGGAATGGAGCTGAGTCATATTTAGAACTTTTGGTAATTTGTCGTTAGATGTAATATTTTTGGTATGTTCAGAACGAAACATAGATTTATTAATTTTGATCGAAATATGATGGTTGTGAATAAAATAGTATACAAACCTCGGTAGGAAGTTTCATGCCTGTCTCGAGATCATAGCTAATCTCGACGATTTGCGTCTCGGTTAACTTACTAATCTCACGACAGGAATGAATCTCTCCCCATCTCGGTGTGTAATATACTATTATAGCTACCCTTTGAACTATACTGCCTCAGAATGTCTCAAAAGTTGGAATAAAACATGTTCCAGAAATCATGTACAATATTTTGACTGAATTTCAACAAAATTGAAGTTCTTGATGAAACAAATTGAACATTTCTATATGGTCGAAAAGCTCCATTATAGGAATTTGCACCGTGGTGGTAAAATTCTAGTCTAATGTTTATGCAGGTGGTTACTACTGTTACCAGGCTTCACCAGTCTCATTTTAAGTTTGATTTTTCTGAAATAATAGCGTCCACTCAATGTCAACGTGACTAATACTAGCGAATTATTCCTCAGAGACGTATAATATACATATAACTCAAAACAATATGCAGCTGCTGACGTATACTTTTCATATCAGGTCATCGTAATACCCTAGTGATTACCTGGGAAATAATGATTTTTCGTGATAACGTGTCAGGAAACCTGATATGATCGGAATAGTTAGTATATTTTTCTACCCTATTTTGTATAGTTGAGTATGAAATATGGCCAGGAGGAGGCAGGTAGCATGTTTTGTGTCTACATGGTGAGCTGGTATGAAACAATGACCTGATAATCGATGAAACTAAACTGAGATTGATTTTACACTGAATTCAACATCGAATATATCTGTGATTACTCCACACAAAGGTATTCGGATGTGATTCTGTTTATATCGAAGAGAAATCGTTCAGCCATCCATATATATACCGGATGTTTATTTGAGAACTTCCCATCCGCAATATCTTGTTGATAGTATAGACGGTTCTCAGAAAATCGCAGAGACACGTAAACAATAACTATGAGGACGACATGTTCTCACCAATGAACTCAATGTATACAACTGGAAGGGATCCTCTGTGAACGACGAGTGAGGCAAAAATATTGTTCAGGCAACCCGTAGTGGTTACGGATACCTATCTCTTTCTATGTTATGTTGGCTAATGGAAAGCGCTCGCATTATTTGAAATATTTTATCGTTTTTTGCTATTATGTAAGAGTAAACGTGATCAAATATAAATATTCATTTAGGAAAAATGATAATGGTGTAAGTAATCAATTATCATTCAAAAATTATTATTGATTTTTTTATTGACTTAAACGTGAAATTTCATTTTTAGTCTCACAGGATTAGGAAGTCAAATGAATACAATATTGAAATTCAAATCATTGAAATGTCACAATATATAGTAGAAGGTTAGCAAAACTTTATAGGTGGATTCATGCAAAACCAACTAAATTATAATGAAATTGAGATTTCAACGAATTTTCAATTGAAAATATATGGATAATCATCAGCTGTTTAATCTTTTCCAGTACGTCTTGTATTTATTTAGCGCATGCGCTGTTGTGAACTTTGGAAGAAATTAATTTCTTAGTTGAATGTTGGCCATCTTCCTTAGTTTTAATTTGAGTTTTGATTCTGTAGTTTCATATCATTGGTTTGAGTTTGAAATTCATTTAAGTTTCAAATTTTGCTTGCATGAATCCACCTTATGTCTCAGCACTATCGGAAGAAGAAAAACGATAGAAAAAATTTTAAAAGAGTTTCTTGAATGGTATTGAGTACCTTAGGTCTATTTTAAGCCTATTTCTCAAGAGTACCTATTCTTCCATGAACATGTTACCATCAAAAGTTGAAAGAAAGGTGAATAAAAGGTGAAGACAAACCTGAAAAGACAATTTGATGTAGCTCTTGAGTTTAAACATTTGAACTTGTAGTTTTAGCTTTCAAAATATTTTTCAGTACCTCATCAAGATTGTCATTCTCCTTTTTACTTTTGGTTTCAGTTTTTCCACTTTTCTTTGCAAAAGAATAGTCCTGCTCGAATGGAACAGTTTGAGGGTTTCGTTATCAATAAACTTTGAAACTTGGGAGCTGGAAGTTGTAGAGGCAAATCAATGTCCATATGAAAAACATAGTCCTTAGAATTCAAGTTATGAATATACACACATACATCCACTGACACATTCTGAAAATATATCAACATAGTTTTTCTAAGAATCGATCTGAACCATTTTCAACGCACCCATGAAGGACAATTTATATTTGTCATGCTTGCATCAAAAGGCAGCACAATATAAATAACCACTATTTATTAATTCAAAATCACAAACCTCCCTAACAACAATCAATTCACATCAACATATTCAGCCATATTTAGCGGTATATCACGAGTATTTCACATAACAAAAAACAATGAAGTTCTGTCTTCACTTTTTCTGAAACTCTTTGTGTCGATATAACTTAATTATGTACATGTATATTACTTTCCATGCCCGATTTGGAAATGTTGAGAACTTTCCGAAATGTTGATCAAGGACGTAGAAAATAGGTGGTGGTAGGGGCAAATATTCCCCCAATTCTTTTTTATGCAATTCTCGGTAAATTAACCAGGACATATGGATATATCATCATTTCCACCTGGAAATGATATTCCTATTCAATTCCGATAGCACTCAACATTTTCGAGATGAATCGACTTTGAAACTCTGCTGCATAATAAAAATTGTAAATTGTGTTATTAGGATCAAAAGTGACAATTTGTGTGACAAGCGAATTTTGCATTTGCGAAGCCGAGCGGAAGCAAAATTAGATTTTATTCATGAATAACTTCTGTCTCGAATTAACCAATTGATTTGAAAACCATAATTTTTATTCTATTCACCGTACAACAAGTAATACTCAGGAAGGTTCTCTTTGTTTATACAATACCAATATGTACACTTTCAATTCGTATTATGTCAACATTTTGAAAGAACTTCATTATGATTTATTTTTATTGAACAAGTTGTTATTTTATCTACAAGAAGATCGTATATCCGTCCTCTAGTTGAAATCCATAATGATTTCCATGGAGAAAATTGAAAATTCTATATACGGGCATTTTTAGTTTCTTCAGGGTTTGCCATTGATATTGCAAAAAACTTCGAGGTCATATTTGTTGAAGAAATGAAAATGGTTCATGAGAACATATGTCCGAAAACAATTTATTCCCGAGATACAGTGTGCTCAAGTTCCTTGAAAAAACGAATTTTCATTAATTATCAAAATATGCCTGGACCGATGAAATCACAATAAGCTACTTTTTCGACCCAATACAGTTGATGAAGTATTATCAGGGAAGTGCCACGGGCAAGTCGCATAGTTTCTTGAACAAAGAATAACACCCAGTGGATTTCTTCAAATGATTGCAAATTTTTTGATTGAAACAACTCGAAATACAACTTTTTGCCCCTTTAGTATTTTTGCATATCTGGCTGCATTTCAGGAGTAACAAACAAATATCAAATCTATATATGTGAACCCGTCGAGAGTAAAACCATTATGATCAAAATCTAGTTGCCCGTTTACCCATGGCGAAACAAAAGTCAACGTAGGTTATCTGTCAATTTGAAAATGAATATCAAACAGATTTTTTTTTCAAGAAACGAATCGTTTCCATTTCATATAAACTCTTTGTCCTATTTTGACACAAAAAATACGACCTCAAAGTTTTGTGCAATATTATTGAAACACCCTGTATATTCTCCTCTTCTGTACCTACTCAATATCTAGAAACTGGAGAGAAAATTGCATCTACGGGTGATGATGATTTGAACTAATCAATGAAATTATCTCACCTAATACGACCATTCTTTTGGTCTTCACATCTTCCCCTCGAAAAGTGGAAACCATGCAAGTATAGTTTCCTGATAAATCTGGCCCAGGTTGTATGATATGGAGGGCCCTGTGAACGCTGTTTCTATCTTCACTAGCTGAATAGTCTAGATTCAGTCTTCCTTTCATGATACCTGGAACAAGAAAATATCATTTCACTTTATTAGAAACTTATATTTCTAAAGTGATCGAATTAATAATTGAGCGTATTCCAAAGGTTGAAGCAATTTACCATGCTTTTACTAGCTTGGTATGTATGTATGTTTGCATGTTACGAAATCTTTGAACGTGATTTTTACCCGATTCAAATCGTCGAATGGGGAAGTTCCCTTCAGATGAATTTTAATAAAATAAGTTCGGCTCTCTCCAGTTTTATGTTCACGCTGTACAGAATGACGACCGATAAAGACCAAGTCGTTTTCATTTCCGAATTGAAGCAATTTTTAATTTTCAGGGCATACATTCTGAATCTAGTCTGAAAATAGCTGATGGTTAAGAATATAGCTAGCAAATAGCTAACGTACAGCTAACGAATGAAAAACGAATGGACGAATCAAAGAAGAAGTAGAACTGGTGAACAAAAACATACATAACCACACATTCACTCGGAGCAGGAATGCAGATGGTAGTTGGCTTCATTCTGACAGATTATGGTTTTTTCATTTATGCATTGAAATATCTCAAATAGAGCTCGATCCTGAACAAAAATATCATTGAATCAATGAATCACTATCGGCTACATTCAATGATACTATCCTTCCTAATTTACTGTCATCGGTCAGAACAGAATAAAGCCGACACCCATGGCTCCTTCTTCTTGTTGTGCCTGTCAGTATTCTGAGTGGTGTGAACGGACTCGAAGTTTAAGGCGCTGTTACAAGATATAATCTGCAACTTTCTTAGAAAATAGATACGTTTTATTGAGGAACGAATTCATTATCAATATAATTACTGACAAGTTATGAATAGAATATTATGATATAACGACAGTGGAAAATCATTGATACTATCGCAAAGTCTCATCGTTATTCTTTATTAGTAATCAACTTCATTCAACCAATGAGAGATTTATGGAAATTATCCATTATACTTGACAAAGTAGGATTGAAGATCCTATTATATCCCATTGCTGTAATGATATAGTTATCATGTATTCAAAGAACAATTTCCGGAAATCAAGACAAATTGATGATGTCGGCAACGTGGCACAGGAAATCGTATTTTGACTCTGTATAAATGCGGATTTTCAGAATGTTCGTCATAGGAATGGTGAAGGAGCCAAGTTTCTTTTCCATTTATACTTTTCTGAAGTGAAATTTGATCTTACCAAAAAAAAGGAAAAATACGTACATACATATTGCTTTTTTACAAACTTCACAGTGAGATGAGAACCTCAATATAGGAAACTTCCCCATCAAATTGAAACTTCACAAACTTATCAAGGACCGATGAAAATAGCATAATTAATTCGATAGTTTCGTTCCTTTATCCTGATCAGGATCATGAGAATAAGCAATTGATTTTTTATCGAATGAAATGGTGGATGTTGATCCGCCACCAAAATTCCAAATGCACCGCCACCATAAGTTGAAGTGTTTGTTGAGCCTACAATGCCCTGTGAGAAGTCCCACTAGTAACCTAGTTGAACTTCATTTCTGGCTCAGTAGATATTCTGTGAATGTTGGCGATGGTTTTTTGTTAAATCCTTCTGCTTGTCTCATTCTCGGCGAGTTGTTCCACCATTCTTGAGATTTGGTTTGCATCAATGATTTGATTTCAGTTTTTTGTATAGCTTTCGCAATACCACAGAAGGATTCTGGGTCATTCAGAGCTTTGTTTGCTCCTGCTCGGGCAAGTGAGTCTGCCGCTTCATCGCCCTCGTACCCTGTATGTGCTGGTACCCATGCTAGAGTCAGTCTGTTCTGACTGCCCAGTTCATTTAGGGTTTCTAAGCAGTCCCATACTAGTTTTGAGTTAACTTGCATAGAGTTGACTGCTTTGATTGCCGCCTGGCTATCTGAATAGATTGCAATGGTTTCGCCTTCAAACTCTTGCCTCATCAATTCTTTTACGAGATACCATCGCGTATTTACCTAAGCTCAGTTAGATTCTTGTCTTTGGCTTGGCCCCATAAATACCAGCTCCTGATCCTTATCAGTTTTGGAGCCGTCCGTGAAGACAGCAATGTCTGCATTGATAGGAGGTCCGTTATACTTATTTCAAAGGTTTTTTTCAAGCTATATTTTGGGATTATGCCATCCGTTGGCATTCCTATGATGGGGTCGCTTTCCAACTCTTCATATAGCTTCCTATGGTCTTTCCCGTGCGCTTTGCTTATGGATGCTTGAACCCTTGATAATCCACTCACGACTGCTCTAGCTTCGCCTTGAATATATATTTGTATTTTTTCCTTTTTTTTTTCAGGTTCAGTAACAGTAAAATGTTTTGTGCGCAGTGAGGTAGACTATTTGATTTGTTCCCGTAACACCTTCATTGAAATTATAGTCATATTCTTATTCTATAGAAACGGGGAGAGAAAATCCCAGAGAATCTGGAGAAACATCTGTCCTATATAATGATATTACCGATCGATTCTTCAGTATGTTTTCCAACGCGAGAGTAGCGACAAAACTTTTGATGATATTTTATCAGTCGGTTTGAAAATCACTTTTTTCTGCACAGTGAACAATTCCGATTGAATCAACATTTAATTAGCAATATATCAATATTATTACATATTTGATAATACCGTGTAGAGTGGTGTCAATTCACACCTTCATGGTGAAAAATAACACGGATGTGGTAATTTAGTGGGGTTCTGGAATATCCATTCAAAGGAAACATCAAACGTATGAAAAATAATTACTTCAGATGGTGTTATTATTCAAGTTAATGCAAAAAATACACTTATTTCATGAAATCAACACCTATTTAGTCACTGACCAATCACTAATAACTCAAAATCGTGTATAAATCATGATATTTGTGGCTAAAATAATTCAATCATTGTCTTGCAGTCTCCCATGTGAATTACACCCTAAAAAGCCTGAACTCATTGAAGAATGGATGAATATCGTGTAGGTATATCATCAACCACAAATTCTGGTATCCAGGTTGATAAGTGACAATGAGAACGGATGATTTCGTGAAGATATAGCATTAAATAAATTTCAAGCTGATTCATCATCAATAATATATAATGATTTGAAAATTGCGGAGCTATATAGAGTACTTATCTCGAATCAGATTTAAACATAACATTGAATATCAAAGCATAGATTTTGTGCACAAAAAATAATGAGTAAATATCTTGATAGGTGGCGACACTAGCGCTACTTCGACGCTCGTCTGTCGACAGTCTTCATATAGTACCAGCTCAGAGATGTTTTGTGAAGTCTCAGATCCCACTGCAATCGATCATTCCATATACACTGAATACTTATGTTAGTCGTGTTATTCAACATTCAGATGCAGACAAGAAAGCACTGCTTCTCAGCGTGATAACACTCAATAAGTGTATTTTCACAACAGAGAAATATCCGAAAAATATTCGCATATCTTAATATCAGCAGTAAAAGCAAAAACGCAACAGATACAGTGTCAAAATGATCACCATTTCGGTGTTGAATAAAACGAACCGATCCAATTAGCACTATAAGGTACTCTAGTATAGTTCTTGTATGTATGTAATAATGAATGACACCCTATGATGGTGTTAAATATATATATATATATATATATATATATATATATATATATATATATAGAGAGAGAAGGGAAGTCGTTGCTGACAAGTTAGAGATGAAACTTAGTAGTGGGGAAGCAGCAAGTAAAAGTGAAACTCATGCAAGTTCGTCCAAGCTTTCGGAAAGTTATATTTCCATCATCAGGGCCAGACTACAAAATGTTATAACAATTATAAGCAAAGCTAGTTGACTAAGTGGTGCAGTACTTTCAACTCATTGAGGTTGGTTACATTGATGTTACTAACAAGTGATGTATAAATAAAAAAATTGTTTGTATAACATATCTGGAACATGACAAATTCAAAAAATTAAAATATTAGGTCAATATCAAAAACGTTGTTGATTTAAAATCATGATGAAACTTTTCTTTTCACAACGTGTGTCAGAATAAAAATCTTTGGTTAGGAAAACTGAACCTTATTCTTCCAATTCACTGGTGACATGGAGCTTAAGTGTAATGACCTTGGTCTTATGGTACCTAGTGCTATTGTGTGTTAGTCACAAGAGTATTGGAAGGAGAAAGTTCTTGAGCTACTAGTAAAACGGGTAATATTCTTGCAGGCAATATGTGCATCACATCAAGATTATTAATACACAACAACACAACAACAATAAACAACTTTTAATAATCTTGATGTGATGCACATATTGCCTGCAAGAATATTACCCGTTTTACTAGTAGCTCAAGAACTTTCTCCTTCCAATACTCTTGTGACTAACACACAATAGCACTAGGTACCATAAGACCAAGGTCATTACACTTAAGCTCCATGTCACCAGTGAATTGGAAGAATAAGGTTCAGTTTTCCTAACCAAAGATTTTTATTCTGACACACGTTGTGAAAAGAAAAGTTTCATCATGATTTTAAATCAACAACGTTTTTGATATTGACCTAATATTTTAATTTTTTGAATTTGTCATGTTCCAGATATGTTATACAAACATTTTTTTATTTATACATCACTTGTTAGTAACATCAATGTAACCAACCTCAATGAGTTGAAAGTACTGCACCACTTAGTCAACTAGCTTTGCTTATAATTGTTATAACATTTTGTAGTCTGGCCCTGATGATGGAAATATAACTTTCCGAAAGCTTGGACGAACTTGCATGAGTTTCACTTTTACTTGCTGCTTCCCCACTACTAAGTTTCATCTATATATATATATATATATATAGAAAACTATGTTTTAGGAAAACAGCTAAATCTCTATTTTCCTTGAGGTTGCAGTCAAAGGGAATGGCCAATGTAGAGAAAAGACTCTTTGTTAAATTGTCGAGCTTTCGAAAAATTTTATTTTCATTATCAAGACATCTGAAAATACAAAGATCCATTATAAGCATGGTATCTTGTATGAAAAAATGAAACAACTTACTAACTTGAGT